GAATCGGAGGTCAGACGGGCGTTCCCAGATGTGCTGAACATCTGGAGGAGAAGGAGTTCCAGTTCCAGACTGGGATGAAGGTCCAAAAGAAGAGGAGGTACTTCTGAACCGGGTTGGAGCAGGAATTTGAAGCCGGATGCACCTTTAATGGAAGGAGTGTGTGTGTGTGTGCGTGTGTGTCTGTGTGTGTGTTTGTGTGTTCTTGTATTACTACCCTTCTTGGGACCTTCCATGAGAAAATCCCCCTACATACTGAGACCATTTGACAAGTTAGGACCAAGATCACGGTCCCAATAAGAAACAGATTTTAGCACCCCTGGTGTTTGTGTGTGTGTGTGTGTGTGTGTGTGTGTGTAAGTCCACGGTCAGTTCCTTGGCCTCCTTCGAGTTGACTGGCGGATTCTTCCTGCGGATAGAAGCACTGAGGCCTGAAAACCTTCCGGTGTGGTGATTTCATTTAAACCCAACACGGTTGGTAATTAGCTCCTTCTCTCATCTGCACACTGTTAGCATGCGGTTAAGTGGATAGGGCTTAAACCTCTTAGTAATTAGAGACAAGCTACAAAGAGTTTGAACAATCCCAGAGGATTTCTCAGTTCCCCTCTTTAAAAAAAATAAAATCTGTCCCTCTTTTCCACATGTAAACCTCACGCTTGAGGTTGTGATGGCACAGGCTTACAAATAAATCCCTTTTACACGAGGTTTAATTACACGTTCTGGTCAAAGGTTTGAGCGGTGCCGTGCAGAAGTCAGGACAGAATCAAAACCAATAAATAAACGAGCAAATAAAGTGGGAAAACCAGGAGTCATTTTTCCAGGAAAAGCTAAAATAATGCATTTTGGGGATCAACAGACTTTAAGCCTTTTAAAGACAGGCAGCTGAGTGAGGGATTATTGTGTCCCCTGTCAGAGGAGGGATGGAGAGGAGGGGAAATATCTGCCAGCTTCAGGAGGAAGAGCAGGATAAGGAAAAAGGCAAAGCGGAGAAGGGCAGAAAAAGCAGCCCCGGTGAGGTGAAAAATACTCAAGGTAATCTGTAACAAAGAACAGGGGAGAGGGGAAAGCATGAACGGCGGGGGGGGGGGGGCAGGAAGGCATTTGAATATCTAATATGCCCTGGGACGGCGAAATCCCGCGGTATTGATGGTTTTAATCTCCCACGGAGAAGTTTAGCTCCTCCACAGGACGGAAAGTGGAGCTGACAGATAACCAATAACGAGCTCCGACTGATGCCTGGAGTCAGACGCTCTGGTGAGATAGATGGAGAAAAGGCCTGAGGGGGGAAAAGGGCCTGAGGGGGTCACACGTGTTCTCTGGAGTAGCTAGTTTCTGCGTTTCCATACTGAGGAGGGCGAGGGCGAGGCGATAACCAGCCGCGGGAGGCGAGATAAAGACGCCAATCTGCCCCGGAATAAATATTAGATGAGAAAACCGATAAAAGGGGAATGGAAACATCGTGATTACACACGGACGCCACACCGAGAGGCTCCGACTCGGCCAAGTAGGTCTGGCTGCAGGAGGCCAAGGATGGATATCCAACTCCGCCCACATCCAAGTCGGCCATTTTGATTAGGTCACCAATAGGAAGATCCCAGGCAAGAAAATCCTAATTGCTTCATGGCAATATAGACATTAATTTAAATATAGTCAAATGAATCTAGCACACTGAATTAAACTCTATACATAATATTATGTTAAAATAGTGGATGTTAAATAGGTTTGTACAATAAGTCCTAACAAATTTAACCAAAACATATTTATTTCTCACAATTATGAAGGCTGGAGGGTTAGGGTTAGGGTCAATGTTAGGGTTAGGATTAGAGTTAATTTTAGGGTCAGGGTTAGGTTAAGGTTTAGGTTTAAGGTTAGGGTCAGGGTTAGGTTAAGGTTTAGGGTCAGGGTTAGGTTAAGGTTTAGGGTCAGGGTTAGGATTAGGATTAGGACATCGTTTATCTTCCGATTTCGTAGAGAAAGTAAAGTTTCGTTTCCACCTCAGAAAGCTGCTAGTCACATGACCTAATCAAAATGGCCGACTTGGATGTGGGCGGAGTTGGATATCCACCCGAGGCTCCTGCAGGCTGCAGCCAGAGGCTTCTCCTCCCGGCAGATAAGCCCTCAGCGGCATGAACACGCATGAAAGTACAGCGCGGGGATTATGTCAGGGAGTTAATATGCCGGCCAAATCCAAGCAGAAGGATTTGGGAGAGGTTGGCAGAACGGGGGCTGAGGCTCATCCAGCACACGCCAACCTCAGAGCAGTTCCCAAAAAACAATATTCACACACCGTCTGAGCTACACTGAGGCCTTTTCCCAGCAGGTGACCGGCAGAAGCTACCAGAAGGACTCTGGAGTCCCCCACAAACCCACAGGAGGTCAGCCTCTCAGCCCGGAAAACTCTAATTCCACCAGAGATCTTTGGCTTAAGCCGGCAAACGCTGTTCTATATTTCCAATCGTTGCTCGTAGCTCCAGCTCAAACTGCACCATCAAATCGTAGGGTTAAAAGTTCAAAGCTCACGATTTATGTTCTCACTATACGACCCGATATGAGATCTTACCTCAGACTGTACGTCTAAAAACGCACGTTGGACTTGAAATAGAAGACGAAGGAACATGAGGGTCCCCAGAGCTAAAAGCTGCTTTGGCAATTCACACAAAAGCTTTAAAGGGGACATATTATGCAAAACCAAGTTTTTAATCATTTGATTATGTAAATTTAGGACTGTGGAGGGCCTATCAGCAGGCAAAGTGTGAAAAAAAATGACTTAGTCATGTTTTTGTGGGCTGCCTCAGTCTGAATCCAGGAGATAAATCAGGAGGTTTCAGGAGTGGGTAGTTTCTGACGTCATTAGCTCTAGCTCATTATAATATTCCAGCCTTTCACCTGCATGTTGCCTCCACCCTCAGCTTACTCCGCCTATCTGTGGCAGACGTCGTGGTAGCGTGAGCGTTAGCATGGTAGCGTTAGCATGGTAGCGTTAGCATGGTAGCGTTAGCATGGTAGCGTTAGCATGGTAGCGTTAGCATGGTAGCGTTAGCGTGCCGACGTGGGCACACCTCCCTGAAGAAGTGGGTGGATTGGCTGTGTCTCATTTGCATTTAAAGAGACAGGCACTCCAAAGAGAGCGAAAATATGTTTTTGACTTATTGCACGCTAATTTGATAAAAATCATTTCTGTTTTTCTTTCTTCACATGTTGTTTAGGGGCCAAAGAAAGACTTCAGACTAAAAAATCCAATATTCTTCCTATTTTTGGATCCTTGGATCAGGCTTTAAAGGGTTGACATCTGAAGAACATCTGGCTCAGTGTGTGGCAGGGAACTGGGGGTCAACCTGGATAACAAAAGCCCCGGATGAACCAGAAAACCAATAACTGAATAACTAAAGATAAACAACAAAAAAAACTCAGACGAGGACAACAAGGAGCAGAGGGACAAAACCACAGAGGAGTAGCCAGAATAATCGGATAACAACAGACAGACGACAGGGGATCTGACAAAGGGAAAACTGGAAAGCTTAAAAACAGGCGATTAGAGCGGAGACAGTCGAGGACAAAGAGCAAAGGTGAGGGGAGAGCAGGAGGGAATCTGCCCAGAGAGACAGATCCACCATGGAGGACAGAAACCGGAGCTAAAGCACAAGATCATTCACAGACTGACATAGAACCACAGGGGGAAAAGCAGAAAAGTCCTAAAAGCAAAAGAAAAGGGTCTAATCGTGCTCGTATTCACAGTTTTGGGGGTAAAATGATGTCTGAGCTGAGTTATGTTGAACCTTTTATCCACTGATTTCTGCTGGGCAGTTTATTCCAAACTTAAAGCTCTGGTTCCCTTTTTTTTGTTTAATTCAGCAGCTTTTGTTCTGTTTGTGATTGCAGAGCCGAGACCGAATGATTTTTAGTTGATCTTTGTTTCCATTTATACTAAAACATCAGACTTACAGAGAAATTTCTGAAACTGTCCAGTTTTGGGAGTTCATGTGATCTGAGCTGCATTTAGCTCCCTGTTTTGGTCTTAAAGTGCAAACACACACACACACACACACAAACACACACACAGACTGCTGCTTCTCAGTGATGGACAGAAACATTACTCCACATAAACACCTGGAGCCTGAAAACGTCCACCTGAAGGCACCGTTCACACTTCAAGTAAAAGAAATGATCTGAGAGAAAAACATGGTTTTCCAATGAAAACGCATCTTTCACCTCTGAGGGGATAAAAAGTCTGCTGCCGGGGTTTAATGCATCAGCTGTGGGCTGGCAGAGGTGTTTTATGTGAGTCTTTACCTTCACCAGAGGGATTAAGAGGAGGCGTGTTCTTCTCTGTGGACTCTGGATTAACAGGACGTTCCAGTAGAGTAGGAAAACAATGTTTATTTTTTCTTTAAAGAAAACAAACGCGCCTACAGGAGTTAAAGGTGTTGCAGAAATCAGATCAAAATAATCATCTGAAGAACATTATTGAGCAATGTGTCGTATGAGGCTCTTTCGACACGTAACTGCATTAACATGTGCCCCCCCCCAACCACCCCTCCACACATTCAGGTTAATAGTCAGAAAAAAAATAAAGCAGCTGTGTGGGAGTGTTAGAGTCGGCTCTGGTTGGGCAGATATGAACAGCGGGAAGGTTTCAATCACCACTAAAACGTTTCACTCTTCGGCAAAACCCGTAAATAAAAAATACTTTAATTTTTCAGCAGACAAACACAATTCATTTAAACATTCGCGCAACAGGCTTCCAAACACAAAGACGGGATTTAGGCTCTACAGAAGACTAAGAGTCACCAACAGGGCTCAGCATCCCATCAGAGGTGCTGCCGGATGTTCAGGAAAAGTCAGACGAGTCGTGATTAGTTTGAAAAACATAAAAAGGGAGGGGGGGGGTTGAAATACTTGTTCACTCGTCGGTTAACAGTCCAGCCAAAACCGCTGATTGTGCACAATGTGGGCGCTTCCTTAAATGTCTGACAGCGGAGGAGGAAATCTGGAGTTTCTGGATCTTTCCTTAGAAAGCGTCCCGTTGCTCAGGAAACAGGACGAAGAGTCGAGACCATTTATGGGACGAACCGCCGAACGGGTTAGTGTGTCTGCGCGCGCGTGTGTGTCTGTGTGTGTGTTGACACGCACAGAGAGGTCGGCCTGAGGGAGGCGAGGGTCTCAGGAGATGGTGGAGAACTCTTTGAGCAGCACGTCCTGACTCAGCGTGTTCAGAGAGACGTTCTTCCTCACGTTCAGGCTGATGGAGCGCACCTGCACACACATTCATCAGCAGGCTGAGCGGCCGGGCTCAGGAACAATAAAAAACCCAAGCTTTTCTGGTCATTCTTTCACGTCAGAATCAGAGCTTTTCCCCAAAAAACGTCCAAGTACGTTTACCCTTTCTGTTATCAAATCAAAAGCTTTTAACCCGTCGTGGGGTCGGACGAGCTGGAAAATTGAGTTTTTATATCAAATACATGCAAAATGAACAGGGAATTAACTAAAATAAAAGTTTTGGTTTTAAATCCATCGTCCTCCATGTTATCCTGCAGTTTATCATAATTTCTATGAAATCGTTGGGGGCATGACATGGTTGAGCCGCCAAGCGAGAGGAAATGGAAACATTTTTAATAATATTATCTAATAATATATAGATTACAGCGACCACAGCGTTCCAGGAGATCTGCTGACAGACGGTTTTTCTGAATATGACTCGGGGCTACGAATACAGATTCAGATTTAGTCTGCTGGAGCCCACAGACAGAATAGAATCGGGCGATTACTTTTGGTGGCTAATACCAGATTCCCACGAATTTCAAACCCTGATCTAGCCCTTTTTAATCTAACCTTTGTCCTCCAACTTAATCCAGTCCATCGACTTTTTCCCAATGTGACAACTCAGATTTTATTTTCCATTAACTCAAACGGAGGCCGGTGTCCCTCATTTCTTCTCTAACACATTTGATTTCCTCTGTTACTCAAATCTTACTTTAGTTTTCTTCTTGTGAAAGTCAAATATTTGATCACTTTATCCCATCCTGAGCCGTGGTTCTGCTCCAGGTTTCTGCCTCTAAAAAGGAAGTTTTTCCTTCCCTGTGTCGCCTAGTGCTTGTTCTTGGTGTGAATTATAGTTCTTCTGTAAATAACTTCAGAGTCAGGTCTGAGCTGCTCTGTTTGGAAAGCTGGGAGATAACTGTTGTTGTGATTTGGGGCTATATAAATAAAATTGAATTGAATTGAGCCTCAGTTTGGGGCTGATGGAGGAAACCCTGAGAAGTCTCTTACCAGCTCCTTGAAGAAAGCGGCCTCCTTTGGCTGCTCCGAGTACCTCTCAAACTGGTCCAGGCCGTCCTGCAGTTTGAGGGTCAGCGTGTCGTAGTTGGACCGTACCACCTCCAAAACCTGAAGGGGGAGCAGGGCAGATTTAGTTTAGTTCCCGTGCTCTTCCACAGCCCATTTCAATCAGCCTAACAGAGAGCAAACGGTCAATTATTCATGAGGTTTCAATAGTTTATTGCAACTCTTTGAAGAGGCATCGTGTGGAGAGCTGGAACACCGAGGCTCGGCCTCCGTTTCCCCTCCAACCAACTTCCTTACAGCTGATTTTTGTCAGAAAAAACGTGAGATGAGCAACTTGTTGGATTCGATGCGTTTTCAAAATATTACCTGTCCCACTGCGAGAACACTTCAGCTCAAAAGGAGAAAACACTCAAACAAAAAAACACAGTCAGGCTTCTCTCCTTTCAAACTTTGGCCATCAGAAAGGAGATACAGAACAATTAAAGCACTTAAGAGATGAAAAAGGAGCTGTAGTTCCCTTTTTCAGGGAAACGAGGGGCTGAATATGTGTGAATGTCTTTAAATATGAATGTACTGTTTATTTATGTGATTTATATCTACATTTTCATAGCGCTCTACTTCTAAAATTAAACAAAAATCTGTCCAAAAAAAGGTCACAGTCATATTTTGAATAATGGAGTTATGGATATCCTCTCAGAGTGCCATTTTCTCCATTATTTTAAAAGTCGAACAAACATGGCATCCAAATAAAGCAGTCCAAAAAGCAAAGGACAATAAAAAAAACGATCAACAAGGATTTTGATCAGAAACCCTGAAGGAGCTGCAGAGCAGCGTTTTGCAGCCGTACATTCACAGAGTTCGGCTTAATGTGAGAGCGACCAGAAATGAGCGTCTGCTTAACCCCAGAAACCCGAGTGCATCATATCTGATGCAAGCAGCTTCTAAACTTTTTTGCAAAACTTCATGGTAAAAACTTTGCTCAAAACCTTGTTGTACACAGTCTCACATAGATCAAACTACACTAATTTGAACTCATCACACAGTAGTAAATGGTAATTATACAACTATAATAGTATAATATTATATCAAAGTTAGTTAAAAGGCCAAATAAAGACTTTTAAAAAAATGAGTTTTCTAAAGAAGCAACACAAAAATGTGACCAACGCTACATATGAATATGTGTGCATTTACTACAGCTAAACATCCAAAGGAGCTGAATTCAAATCCAACCGAGATAAGAAGGCATGAGGTAAGAGTGTACAGATGTTCCAACATCTACATCCTCCTCCATTGCTTTATTAATGCCCCGGCAGCATGAAACATTCACAATGAGACACGAACCACACTTTGTCACGCTTCCCTCAGAGGCTCCACAAGCTGGAAATAAAGCCCTGAAGTTAACGTGCCATCAGGGCTTTTTACATTTTACGTTCACACGTCCATTCTCAACATTTAAGAACCACTAAATCACTCTTTCCTTTTACTTCCTTCATATAAACAAACGGCTCTGCCCCGGCAAAAACTGTCTGTTGTTTTAATTCAACCTCTAGTTGTATGCTGATGAAAAATTCAGCCCATACATCTCATCCTCCTGGAGCTGTGAGGGAAAACATGCTGGAAGCTCTGAATAGTAACCTGAGCTTAATGAGAGGACCTCACGGAGGAGGGAAGGGGGTAAAAAGCACTAAAATGAGCAGCAGCTTTGTTTGGAAATGATACAGATGAGTGTTTGACTCATGGTTTAGTCCCCACTGAACTCACCCGAGCAGCTTTTCTGCATCGGAGCAGAAATAATGGCGTTTGTGTTACAGCGTGGATATGAAAGCAGCTTTAAGGCTCCCTGTGTCCATCGCCCGTCTTCCAGCGTCCAATCAGGAGCGAGGAGGCTTAGCCTTTGCGTAGAGATGGAGTCCACCTCAGGTTCGTTTTACTAAAAACGAGGACTGAGGGGCAAAAACCAGCCTGAAAACTCCCCATAACTCAGACTGTTTCCTACTTTAAAAAAACAGCTTTGTTTTCATGTAGGAAACCCGTTGTTTGTTCCATTTTGTATTTGCTTTTTGTTTTGTTGAGTCTGGTTCTTCTGTTTCCTAAACTCCTGCTTTAGAGAGGAGCCCTGAAAAGACCTTCATTAATGATTGGCGGTGTCCCGCGGAGCCTCCATCTCTGGTGGAGAGGCGAGTATTAAAACCTCTGTCAGGTTTTCATACTGAGGCTTTTTCACTGAGTTCAGTAACAAAGAATAACAAAGACAGCTGGGTTTCAATGTGCTGAATTCTGCATTCAAACCCAAGGAATTGACTTATTTAGTTTATCTAAAGAGAAGAGATAACACATCAAATAATAACTGAAGTATTGTTGAAACAATAATAAAAGAAGAAGAAAACAAAAAACTACTATTGAGGCACAACAAGCTATCCTAAAGGGAAGGTTTTGGAAACCTTATCAAAATCCAGCTTGATACCACAGAACCAACTGGTCTCAAATAAAGAAACGATCAGCCACTTCCCATCTGAGCTGTGAGCACATATTTCTGGGGATTTGATGATCGCTGAAACCATAAAAAAACCAAAACCTGAGCATCGAACTCTTGTTTTGTTTGTTTAGTTTTTCCTGTTACATTGTATAAGCTGCACATTCTCCCCTTTCTGTCCCAGAAAAGTCCGAAAACCATTAAAAATTCAATACTGCTATCACGTTAACGTTGGAGATAAGCATGAATTCCTCCATGAAAATGTGTGCATGACTTCCATATGCTTTTATTCATTTACTTAATTCGGCTTAAATGCAAAGAAGTGAGACTGTCTTATTAATCAAATATTATTTGCTTTCTCCTAAATTTACTTCTTGTTCATCTCTCTTAACTGAATATGCTGTTTAGAGGTAAATTGTCCATTTTTGAGGGTAAAGTACTCAACAGAACTGTTTGTTATGTCCAGTAACTCGGTGGAATTAGAAGCAGGGCTTAATGCAAGTGGAGAATAACATAACCACAAACAGCTCATTAAAACCACAGCCGTTCTCTTCCTTATGAATAAATCTAGCAGATAAAAGCACAGAGGTAATTGGGGGATATAATGACCAAATCCATCATTCTCCTATCAGTTTAAAAAAAAAAAAAAGAAGAAGAAGGCACTCTGAGAACAGGCTGCTTTTTTCCTCCCTGTAGATATGAAATAAATAAGCCTTAAATAGAGCTGACAGCTCTCATATCAGCTCAGCCTCCTTCGACTCTGGGCTCACGTTTCTCAAACAGTAATGAGGGAAAAAATACTCAGAAGTCATCCAGATGCTTCGTTTTAAAGACTCTTTGGTGTTTGCAAACCAATGAAACTCTCTGTAATGCAGCTATGTCCCCAAGAGCAGCTAAAAGAAGATTATTCATATAATACACATGAATCTGAAGACAGAGGAACTCAAAGTGTTTCTATAAATAAACATAAACAAAGAACTTGTTAACATAGTTTTTATCTAGAAATCCAGATTAAACCAGTCAGCTTTTTCAGAAGACATCCCATTCCTTAGCTTGTTGTGCTAATGTGAGGTGCTTAAAGTTTCCTTTCATTTTCATGAGAGTGTTAGTGGTCTTTATTTACCTGTTCCTCTGACAGCTGGGAGATGTGGTTCACAGCAGCATACGACTCAATTTTAGGATTAAAATGGTTGACGATGGCCCTTAAAGACAAAAAAAAAACATTTATGAAATTAAATTACACATATCTTAGGAGGTTCACCCTTGGAATTTATTCCAATAAAAGTTATTCAACATAGATTTCATGTCCTTTAGTCGCATGAGGAAGCTGGACCCCTTTAAGCTGCCCCTTATAGTCTAACTTGCAATATATCTATTTGTTCTCGTGGCCAATAAATGGATTCATGCAAAAACTTTATAACATGTGCATTTTCCTTTGTTTTATTTGACATAACGGTGGAGTGAGAGCAGAAACAACTTTATTGAGACTAGTGAGCTCTATCAATAACTCATCTTATGTTAAAATAAATAGAAATAGGTGGAAGTGAGACAAGTGCATGCATCTGGGCAGGGAGCAGCTTTCAGGTAGTTCAAAGACGAGGCGTAAACACCGTTGTCCAAATGAAGCTAAAAACTGGTGGGGAAAAAAAAAAAAACTATCAAAGAAATAGCTGTTGGTTGCACTAGACTAGCCATAAGCTGGGTCTGGGCTCATGGTGTTACACATGTCAGCTTTGTGCTTTTCCAAACAAAAAATGAGCCAATCAATCCTTTAAGAACAACTGTGGCTTGCAATGGGAGCTGCATAATGCTGAGGTGGACCCCAATAACACACCCTGCATACCTGATCCAGTTCTGATGGGAAAGGTTCTGAGAAACCCAGCCGGAGCTGGTTAAAAACACAACTTCTCTCAGTTCAGCTCCTTCTCAAAGCAATCTGTATACTGCATGAGCACATCAAGGGACTCTCAGATGTACATTCAGAGGCAATTGCTTCTAGCATTAGCATTCATTCCAAAGAAATAAAACAGTTTGGAATATAAATTGAAACAATAAGAACAGCTGAGACGTTAGATGGTCTATTTTCTATTGGCTTGGAGTGTTTCATAAGTCAAATGGTCATAATGACTATAATGATAATTCTTTTATTCGTGGGCAGCCAGCGCACAGAAGAGTGAATCAGCCTGTTCTTTATTCATCTGTCTTCAGTTATTTATTTATCTATCCTTTGAAATATAGTTTCATCATAGTTCCAAGTTCTTTTTCCAGACTTTCCATCAACCCCTTGTAGCTATGGGTTTATGCAGGGGCACGGCTCCATTTGGGGCCCACAATAAAGGGGGAGTCCATTCAGTAGCAGAGAAAAAGAGCTCCCCGGGGCCTTTAGGACAGGGTGAGCTCACAGAAATATTAAAAGGGTCAAAAGTTAGAGTGGAAGTAGCAGAAACATGTGTTTGGTTGAGGTGTATCAGACAAAAACTGAATTTAATATAAAAAATATATTAATGTGGATGGAAAACTCCATGTTTCCAGCAGAACTTCTACTTTATTTATTTATTTATTTTCATTTTTAGAAAGCTGATGATGAGAGTGAGTCTTTACCGAATGTTAACCAGTGCGTGTGTGACTTTGCTGGCTGCCTCCTTCCACTGGCCTGTGTTGGTGGATACTCTCAAAACTGAAACGCAAAGAATGAAGAATAAGGAAGAAGAAAAAAAAGTCAGACTGGTGTCAACCGATCACAAGCGAGCTTTGAACTCTTAAAATCCCAAATTCCAGACTTTTTTCAGCCTTACCCATGCAGTAGAGGTTGTCAAACACCTGGTGCATTCGTACTATTTCATAGTACAGCTCGTCGTAGCTGTTGGAGGTGGGCAGGAACGTGTCTCCGTAGGTTATGAACATGTTGAACAGGTTCACGACCTGAAGGAGGAGAAACACAACAGGAGGAGCTGTTATCTAAATATACATTATTATCAATATAAATTATCATTTTCATTACCACTGCTATCAAGGCTGTTTTTATCTTCAAAATATCCCTTTTTGTTCCTCCTGCTCCAGGAACTTGTGTCACTCTTATTATCATTTTTAATTTTCATATTTAATTTATTTAATTCATTATTTATTTATTATTTATTTAAGGATTTTTTTGTATTTATCTATGAAAATAATATTCTAAAATATTTATCATTAACTATTTTTTTCTTTTTGTTATTATAAGAACTAATACTGTCTTTTTTTTGGCTGCATCCATGGACAAAAACTCTTATATTAATTGTTTGTTCTGCCACTTTCTGCCACTGTTATAACTGATATAAACGGAGAAAATATCCATCTTCCACGTGTCCCCGGAGACACTCCACACCGTTAATGTTTCACCTGCCTCGGCTTCCTTACCAGCAGGGCCAGATGAAAGATGTTGTGCTTGGCCAGCAGCGTGGTCTCGTTGGACAGCAGGAACTTGAGCAGGTTGATGAGAGCTGCACAGAGACAGGGAGCATCACACCAGGGAGCTCCGACCCTCTGGGGCCATGAGAGGCATATGGCTGCCGCCTGCTTTTCTGCATGCCCGTCTTTATTAAGGTAGATAATGGAAATGGGGGGGTGGGGGGGCTCTGAAAACCAAATCAAGCCTGCCTGCAAGCTCTTATTGAGAAGACAAAAACCCATGAGAGAAACCAAAATGTGCAACAAACACCAGCACTCAAAGGAGATAAGCACATCTACTGCTTTAATTTGGCTATTTTTCCTCCCTCCAGGTTTCTTTCATAGCATGTGATTATCACCACCGAGAGGAGCGAGTCTGTGTTATTCTGGGATTTAATGTGATTATTGGTGTGATTAGGGGAATCTGAATTCCAATGAGGAGCCGTGTGATGAGGCCATTACGCGGCACAATGTTAACATATCATGGCTGACCAAGTTGAAAACAAGGCCACCAGGATGGATTGTTACGTCTTCAGAGACTCGTTATCCAGTCCCAATGATGCAGTGCATCCAAAACAACAAGCAAAGTGACTTCAGCAGGAAATGGCTTTGTTTTGCAAAAGCAGAAACTGTTACTAATCTCATGAGGGGAAAATCAGAGGGAAACTTCCAGATAATTATTTAATTCGCCTTTGAACCTGCTTTGGTCCATACAGTTCAAACCTTCCCTAAAAAAACTGTTTTGTGCTCACAATCCAGCCTGAAATGTTGTTTTAAGGAAATAAGTGAGCTTTAGGTTGACCAACCTCAGCCCATAATCCAGAAACATGACATCACCTTCACATTTTCTTTTTAAGAAATCCTTAAGGCAACAAGTTTTGCTAATTTTTCTTTTGAAAAGATAAGATCTGAGAACACTGCAGCTTATAAAATATCCATTCCTGAGATGTCTAAGCCCCGAGTCTAAGCCCTAATACCACTAAGCACAGCAAGGAAAATCAAAGGCATCTCTTCAATCTGGAAAAATGCATCACGCTGGATGGGACTTTACTTTGATTAAAAAACACACCAAAACAAAAGAGAAACACCTTTACCTGACCAGAGCTCTCTCCATGTGTAGTGTAACCTGATTCTGCATTTCTTCTGGTAACACAGGAGTTTGTGGATGATCTGCACACAGCGCCTGCACAGGAAACAGAAACACATGAGGCTGGGTGGAGGATTATCACAGGGATGTGAGTCTGGAGAATAATCAAATGTGTGTGCCTACAAGTATAAATCCATGGGGAAATCCTTCATCATGTGAGTGACGATAAACTCCACCATTAAATCTACGAAAAAGGAGCAGAGGAGACGGAAAAATTCAGCATCCTTTGACTACAAATATTGTGTTATTCTAAAGATACAGGCTGATTAATCTCAGACAGAAAAACAAAGCCGTCCTTTGGGCAGATTACTGTAAATGTAAACTGATTTTCACTGTCCATAACACCATCTTGACCACATTTGTCAGTCTCAAGGACGTCCAGAAATAGCTGTCCCACCACTCGCACTAAAAATCCCAGCATGCACTGCAACAGTTCATGGATTCTAATTCGTTCAGTCTTCATTTGTAAGACTGCGTTTTGCATTTCTGGTTTGACACAGCCTGGAGCATCTAAAAAAATATGCTACATAAATGATGCTACAGAGCTGACAGCTCCAGTCTCTGGTGGGAAACATTAACACCCCCTTAGTAAGTGGAAAAGAACAGCATCTAACACAAATATTAAAAGTAAGGTTAGATTTTCTTGAATTGACTGATAAAGACAAACTAAAATAACTCAAATAACTCAAATACACTGGAGGATGGGGAGGGTTTGGGTTCGTTATTCATACCTAAAACCGCACACACCAGCGGACGAGAAGGAATATTTTTGTCCACAGTTTTTTTCCTGTGTCTCATGGGCTGAAAGGAAAAGAAACACATATAAATGAAATATGAAGTGTGTATTAACAGCTCACTTCAGATAATTGACAGAGAGTGCCTAAAAGTTACTGATACTTTACAAATATTTGAAAACTGACAGCATAAACAGAGCTAAATAGAAAATTCCCTTTAAACTTGCCTCTCTGTCACTAACAGAAGACAGACACTTATTAATTTGCTTCCTGCCTCTGCTTATGTTTATGTTTATGCATTTAGCAGAAGCTTTTATCCAAAGCGACTTACAAAGTAGACACAATTTCACAGTTATCAATATGAGAATAAGTTCTCTAGAGAAGGAAGCACAGAAAGAGAAATAGAGGGTCCAATGGGGTAATAGTCAGGATAACAGATGCTCTTTTAGAGGTGGGTCTTTCAGAGTTTTGTCCGCTTAGCGTCACCTTTAACTTACCATCCTGTGGAGGCTGACTCTGAAGTTCATGTTGTCATCGTGAAGAAAGGCATCGGCATACTGGTCCTGTAGCACAAAGACACCAAAGCACAGCAGTTCAGACGCATGGAGGGGCCGGGGGGGCGGTTCGGGGGGGCGGAGCTCGAACCTCAGCTATGCAGGTGAGGATGATCAGGCACAGGCGGGCGCTGTTCAGTCGGTGCTCGTCTGCAAACACACAGAGTCCTCTTAGCCCTATAATACCAAATGTATCATATCTGATACGGTTTCTGGAGTCTTTGGGATCTGAGACTTTTTGCATCATTCAGTGGTAAAAGCTTTGCTCTAACCCCTGTTGTACACATTCAGATATACCTGATAACAGCCAGTAGAAGACTACACCTAAATATATTTTTTACTTATTGCACGCTAATTTGATCAAAACAATTTCTGTTTTTTTTTCTTCATATGTTGTTTAGGGGCCAAAGAAAGACTTCAGACTAAAAAAAATCCAATATTCTTCCATATCCTTCTTGGATCGGGCTTTAAAGGGTTAGAGAGAACTAGAAATGGCACAAATCAAGGCAGCCTCAAAGGGATGGAGGACATTTTTATGCACTAGATGTTCTGCACGAATAAACTCAGTAGCAGAGGGAAGCGGGACGAGCATGCGGCACAAAGAGGAATAATTAATGACGTGAGGCCACTGAGAGAGAACGTAAAGCTCCCTGATTACCTTTAGTGTCCTGCATCACAATGGAGGCGTATTTTAGGAAGGTAATGAGCAGGTTGCTGGTCTGCAGGTTGGGATCCAAGGGCAGCTCGGGGTTGTTCAGCACTACACAGTAAACAAGCTCGTTAAACATCAAGTGGTAAAAGGGATGAAAACAAACACTGTTCTGATTATTTCAGACCAAAAAGAACAAACAGAGTTTAAAAGAAACACCACGACAAAGGCCTGAAGTGACCCCTAAACGCTGGAGCCGAGGCAAAGCCCACGCTGTCTTTGTTTGGTCGTAACGGAAAGTCTGAGAGAGTCTGAGGCATCAAGCAATATTTCTTTAACTCTGCAATGGGAACATCCAATCACAACACTACTCAGCTTGAATGGAACATATGGCTTCTGAATTATCTACAGAGTAATGAGAACAGAGACAACCGTTCAAACAAGCATTTCACATCATAATCGGTGGAGAAAATTAAGTTAGATATAATATTTTTCAGCAGTTTCAGACATAATGGTATTAAAGCATTGAAGCAACAGTTATCTCTTTTGGTCCTTAATTTAAAGTGTGGATGTGAAGGACATTGACCAACTAAACTTTTGGTTTAGTTTTTGAAAACATCATTAAAAAAAGAGGAAAATCCTACTTAAAACTTCTTCATTACAAATATCTGTTTGAAAACATGCAGCTCATCTGAGGAATAAGAGACGAGCCGACCGAACCCGCATTTGTTTATTTAACCAGAAGGAGAAAAAAAAAATTTTTACGCTGTCACGCAACACATAAACAAGCAGAGCTGCACCCGGGACGGGAACGTGCATCTATAAGCGGAGCTAAAGTTCCCTGCATGAGGCATACATCTATGTTTGAAGCTGGGGGTGAATATTTCATAACGAGGGAGGGGCTGTTGGGTTTAGAGCGGAGCCAGATGGAAGCATGCACCTCTTAATAGTTACAGCATGTTTACAGAAACGGGCTGCGAAAAAGGTCCCGGCGAGTCCAAAATAAGAGCCATGCGTTTGTTTTCAACGAGAGATTAGTGACAATTTGAGATCAATGGAAGAATCTGACAATTATGAAGCAAGTCGATGATGTCAGAAGCACTATGTGAGCACACAAGTCATTTATTTCCAGATAAAAGTGTTTGAAGGCAGCTGGAGAAAAAGAACTTAAAAGGCAAGTTTTTAAATATTCATAAACGTGAAGATAACATGAAGGTAAAGCGCCGAAGATCCTTTATTAAGAAATGCTTTGCTCCATTTAAAATCACAAACCATTAGGTCCATTTATGTAGAGTTAATATATGACAGGACAGTAAAATTGCAAATCTTCCTCCATGCAGAAAATGTGCTTATGTGAGTGATCTTTTGCTTATAAATGAGTAAGAAGTGGCACATATTTAACTTTAATCTGTTTTTATACAGGAAACTTTGCTGTTTCTGTTAAGCCAAAAGGGAATAAAGAAGATAAATATTAAAATGTTTAACCCCCACTTTCCAGAAGCTGTGAAACCTCTATCGAATTTAATTTTATCACCATTTTCATCGTTTCTGTCACCAGTAAAAATCTAACTTCCACAAAATAATGTCAGATCATAATCGCTTGGAGAAATTCAAACTAACCCTAAAATGATTAGTTTAATGTCATTTAGGTCGCCAGTTTTCTAATGATTTATGCGAGTTTTCTGTTTAAAACAGAGAGGTTAAAGTGTATGAGCTCTTTTTCTAAAGTAGCGAAAGAGGAGCTGAGGAAGTGTTTTAAACTCTGTCATAATGAATTTACCTTCTTAAATATTTCAGATTATGCACTACAAAGGAGACATTAAGCCCAGCCGCTGACAGTTTGCATGTTCTGCGCGCCGAGGCCTGTCACGGTAAACCCTCGGGAACATTTTGGGGCTTACTGTCTAGGGAGGGCGGCGTGGTGCCGAGGGGAGTCGTGGGAGTGGTGGGAGTCGGGACGGCGGGCGTCGCCGCGATGTCGATCTCAGGGTGGCTCTGTTCGGGTAAAAAAAAAGGTAGAGAAGTCACTGATTGTAGGAGCCTAAATGCAGTTAATTTTAGTTGGAATATCCATCCATCCATCCATCCATCCATCCATTATCAATACCGCTTTTTCCCTCATGGGGTCGCGGGGGGAACTGGAGCCTATCCCAGTGGTCTAGTTGGAATATTTTTTATTTAAAAATATGCAAATTCTCAAGTAAGATAAATATTTTTTGTTATTTAATTATCTAAAAGGATTTAACATGGATTTAAATTAGATATTTACGGTTCATTTCTGTTGTTGTGAATAACACTTTTATTGTGAAGTTTACAAATCTCCCAGCAGGTGATTTACCTTCATGCCAGGGTCAGTTGGAATCCGAAGGAGAGAGGAGCGTAATAGTTTTTTGACCTCGCCCTTCCCAGGCTCCGTTGGAATTTAAGATTTAATTTTGGAAATATAATTGATGTTTTTGTAATGTTGAGTTGAATTTTTAGTAAACAGTCAAAAACAAGAAGCGGACTAGCGTCTTTATTTTTCTAAGCTTTTGGATACGACGGAGTCTGACGAGCGTCAAGCTAAAGCTCCATAAGGATAGCAAGAACTCACACTGATGATGGGCGGCTATAAACACGCGCCATTTTAGGGGCCAAAGGGCAGAAACAACAGAGAGGAAAGCAGCTTTTAGCGAACACTGCCCACAACGCCCATGTTCATTAATCATCAGATCTGTTAACATTTAAAACAGCACTGGTAAATATTTAGCTACGATGGCTCAAACAGGGATAACTAAAGTCCGAGCAGGAATTTAGAAAGTTAAAAGAAAGATGATATCGTGCTTTCATCCTGCAAGGCCTGTAAAACATCAGTGAGGATTGGAGGAAAAAAGTACATCCCATTCCAACATCGTGAGAAATAACAATATATTAATAATATAATAATAATAATAATAACGAGTCCAGGAGCCCGTCCATCCAGGTGGTCTTACCTGTGCTAACACGGTGATGAAGTTTCTGTTCAGGTGCACGGCCTCATAGAGAGCCAGCAGAATCGCCTCATTTGTCCTTCAGATCAAAGGGAAAAGAGTCACAATTCAAGCATTAAACAAATTTTTCAAAAATCTTCACATAACAGCTCTAAGATGAAAACATTTTCCCATCGACCAACTTTCATGACCACTTTCACCAGCATTCATTTTTAACAATATGGTTGACGAGTAGCTTTTATCCACAGCTGGATTTTTAGCTCCAGCTAAAAAAACATAAATGTATTACAAAAGGGAAAATGTGGACACAGCGTGTGATTCTCAGTTTTCCCTCCTTCTCCAACCTGTTGCTTTACAAAGAAATTAAACATTCATGCTGCTCCCGCGAGGCTTTTTATTTCTTTTTTTTTTTTTGCTCAGTTTTTTTGCCTCATGGCCATGATTTCAGCTTCCTGTTTAGCAGTAAAAACATAACTGCTCATAAAATGAACACGGCACCAGGCACTGAGTAGCTGAGGTGAGCAGGTACTAGTCAGAGGGACTGTACTCAAATAGACACTTTTGGGCTTAGTTTTATGGCATAAAGCCAAAATCCTTTAATTTTAACTCTGTTCCTCTGTAGGAAATGTTAATGATGGTATGACAGAAGAAAGAAAAGGAGTTTAACGGAGATAAAATACATGCTCCTTTTTGTAGAGAGTGAATCTCTAAATCTTTATCTCCTTATCTTTTTTTTAATGGTTATTAGTTTGAAACAAGATTCGGTACAACAGTGTTGTACCGAATGCATTCACTTTTTGATATTTTATTAAATGAACGCACAGTAATTACAAATCATTGTTTGAATACGAGTGCATATAAATAGAATTACATGATTCACTGTAAAAGTCATGTTTGAACACGATGTAAACGTGTTATAAATGAGCTGTAGTATATTTCTGTGGTCACCGAGGAATGATGTGAGGCATGGCATGAAAGGTCTTGAATTTGTATTTCTTTTTTTGGTTGAATTTTAGGCAATAGGAGAAAGCCCTGGTCTCACTGACTCTGCTTTCATGAATGCAGACAATAAAACAACCCTCGAACAGTGAAGCTGTCAGGGTCAGGGCTCCATAACGAGGTGGACAGGACTTCACACTTACTGCACAGAGAGCTTCTCATCCGCATCTGCTATGAACATGCTGCCGACCTGCAGACAGGAGGTCCCAGTTTACAGAGGAAGACCACAGAAATGATTACTCCTGAGGAAGACGCTCTGAGGAAGAGGAGCCTACCATACTGGTGAGGGTGGAGAAGAAGCCGCCCTGGTGCTCCTCCTCTTTGTCTTTGTATTGTCTGAGATGTTGGACGGGAAAGAAGGAAGTCAAGCAGATTAAAGGGGACATATTATGCAAAACCAAGTTTTTAATAATTTGATTATGTACATTTGGGACTGTGGAGGGCCTATCAGCAGGCAAAGTGTGAAAAAAAATGACTCATATTTTTGTGGGCTGCCTCAGTCTGAATCCAGGAGATAAATCAGGAGGTTTCAGGAGTGGGTAGTTTCTGACGTCATTAGCTCTAGCTCATTATAATATTCCAGCCTTTCACCTGCATGTTGCCCCCCCCCCTCAGCTTACTCCGCCTATCTGTGGAGACGTCGTGGTAGCATGAGCGTTAGCATGGTAGCGTTAGCATGGTAGCGTTAGCCTGCCGACGTGGGCACACCTCTCGGAAGAAGTGGGTGGATTGCCTGTGTCTCATTTGCATTTAAAGAGACAGGCACTCCAAAGCGAGCGCTCTGAACGGGGCTGTTTTGGCAGGGTTAGGGTTAGGGTTAGGGTTAGGGTTAGGCAGGGGGACTGAACTGCTATTGGGCTTCATCCTTATGGGATTTTGACCAAACCTTGTCACAGACATTACATTAGGACACCGGGGAACTAGCTTAACTTGTTGAAATAGGGTATAATGTCTCCTTAAACAGCAGAGGAGGAGATGAAGGCTTTCACTCAACCTGCAGCTACACTAACTCACAGTCAGCTCTAACCTCCCTCCACCCTGCAGGTGGGTTTTCATTTTAAACACAAAAACAATGAGCTACGTGGAGCCGTCATCCATCACTCTGACGCGTCTGCTGCTGACAAGCCGAGACCTCCCAAACAAACAGCTTTTTAATTTCCATACCCCGTCTCATCCAAAAGACGTTACCTTGTGCTGAAGGAAGCTGTCAGATATAAATAACTATTAAGGGACCGGGCCGTGTCTGTTCTTTGAAATATAAATAGGACATTCGCAAAAGGCGTCTGACTAAAGTGATGACGTTGTGACTGTTAAAACTCAGAGATTTTACCTGTTATATTCTGTCAGGGCTTGGTGGACCACCATGCCCATTCCCTGGAGATAGAAAGAGAAGCAGGGTGTTAACCAGACCTTCAATAATCTATCTAATGAGAATTGATTTGCTGTTTATTACTAAGCCATGTGGCCTTTTTCCACTCGTCTCTACTCAGTTTCAGTCTTCCACTACTGTCCCGCCTCACTGTGGGGGGTCATTACAGCTGGACCCCCAAAAGCTCCATGACATAATTCGTATGACACAAAAATTGAGGCGGACTATAGTTTTTGTTTGAATGTAGCCATTGACCAATCTGACAACCAGCAGAAGTACTAAAATTGGAGAAAAAAATGGCGCATTCATGACTCACCAAGTGAAAATCAGTGGAAAACCATACAAACTGAGCTGAGTCGAGGAAGTGTTTGTGGAAAAAGGATGTTAATAGAGTACAGAACACAATACTTACATCTAATGTTGGCTCATCGTCCACAATGGAGAGTTTCACAATATACGGATTCACAGACTAAAAAACAGACAAAAGCTGACACTTAGTTCACCTTTAAAGGAAAGCCAGACCCTGATTTTATACATGTATAATTCATATAAAACACCTCATTTGTCCTGTCTCAGAAATACTTTAAATACTTTAATACTCATATCCGCATCTATCAGCAAACAGTTTAGTCGGTTGTAAAAGCTTCTCCAAATTTCTCCAGAGCAGGAACAGACATCTTGAAGTTTACTTTTCTTTTAAATCAAGGTATTCCCATGAGAGACAGTTATTTAAATGGTTCCTGAGTCATTCAGAGCCTTGTTCCTGAGCTACAGAGTGGAGGGACTGATGGTGTGAGACAGGAAAAAAGGCTGATAGCTGCATCTCGACACTAAAGGCAGAAATTACTTCTTTTATAGACTTAGAAAAAAAGCTAAACATTTGATTCCCTAAATAGTTGTAGGCTCAGTTTCTGACATCCTCTGGCGCCTCCTGTCTGGTTCTCCGCTCCCATTCAGTCATCTTGACACTCGTTTGTCAAGACAAATGGTAAGTGAGTTTATTTCTGACAAGATGTCCACTTTTGCCCGTTTCTACTGAGGGACGGACTGTCTGGTCCACAAATGGATCGACTTAAAGTAACACTAATTTAATCTTGATCAAACTACATTATTCTTTGGGACTTTTTTCTATTTTTTTATGGCCAAAACAGCCGAGAAAGAGACAGAAAAGGCGAGAGAAAGCTTGTGGAACGACACGGGACTTAAGGTCGTAACATCTCTCAGAATGTGAAAACTAAACCAGTCCATTAGCAGCTACAAGGAGAAGCTTAAAGACTCACTTCACTAAAAGTACGCCATCTTCTTTTCGACCCCGTTAGAATTTTTTTTTTTTTTTTTTACTTAAGATGCTTTTTTGGCTTTACTCGTTCTTAGTAAATACTAAATTTTTCTTGTATTGTCATCTGCGTAATTTGCCTGTTGATATGAAAAAAATCATCTATTTTTCTAAGAAAAAGAGAAGCTGTTGCTGTTTTTTCAACTCCCTCGATTCAATAAGACAGAAGTTGTTAGTGACTTCCTGCTTTACAGCATGTAAACAAGCTCAGTCACCAGTCGGTACATAAACATAATCCACACCTCATATTTTCTGTAGTTGACGAGGAGGGCCAGAAGAACCACTGCATCATAACCATGCTGCCCTCTACTGGAAACATCCGACAGAATCTGAGCCGGGAAGAGAAGCAGAACGAGGATTATTTAACTGAGATTAAACTGAGAGGACGGTGTTCAAACATAAATAAACCTATCTGGTCTCTTACTTGTAGGATGGCTTCAAAGATGCTGTTGATCATCACATACTCCAGGATGGTGTTCTGGCTAATATTGTCTGTTACCTGTGGATTCATTTTTTTAAATGAGCGAGATTGAACATGTTTAAAAAGCTAAAAGATCATTCTTCATGTTTTTCCTCACCGTCACTAAACACAGCAGCAGTTTGAGGCAAAGGCTCTTCAGACTCTCGGAGCCGTCTCCACAAAGAAGGCAATCCAGCCTCTCCATCAGGTCCTGCAAAACAAGCCGCTGCATTTAGTTTAGGTTCATTCATTTCTACCCCTTTTTAAAGAGGGAGGTTCTCACACACCTTCATCCTTTGCTCGGCCTTGTCGAAGCCCATCAGCATGTTAATGATGTCGAAGCCAGAGGCCGACTTGTTTTTCTGGTGGACCCCTCGAAACAGAGCGCAGAGCGTCTGGAGAGATAAACGGGAAACAACACAGTTCCCTTTAGCCTGCCTTTCTACCTCTAAACATTACAGCTAGGGATGTCCCGATCCAGCTTTTTGCACCAATCCCGGCCTATCAGAGCATGCATTAAAGTTTAAAGTTATTTATCTACTTACTTATTTGTCAGACTCATGTTGAACAGGAATTTACTCTGATAACAACATAATGGTTAGCACACAGACTTGTGGGTTCCGAGATGCTAATGCTAATGCTCGTGTGGGATCAGACTTAAAAAAAACTGGTTCCAGAGTCTGGATCTGCATTTTCTCCTGCCGGCCGATACGCAGTTTTTTGCAAATATCGTCCGGCGATCCGATCCAGATATCGGATCAGGACAACCCTAGTCACAACAGCTTTTTTTCACCTCCTGAGTTGTTGAACTGTGCATCTGTAACATTTAAATTGTGACAAAAGCATTGTTTAACAGCTTGAGTCATATCCCAATCCGGACAGTAAACAGTTTTGTTAATGTTGTGTGTTTGTTTTTGCTCTCCTTTTTTCTTTTTCACACCTTGTAATTGTCAACAAAGACAAATAAAGTTTAAAAATTGAGACAAAAGGCGCATAAGACTTCTAAAAGTGGCCTGAGGCTTAAGGACCCACTGAGGGTGAAACCCTGTGGATGCCCCTGGCTGTCAGATACCTGCAGGGCATTAACCACTTTGATCTGATGCTCCTCTCCCAGAGCCTGGACGCAGTGGTGAAACAGAGAGTTGATGTTGTCTTGAATACGCTGGACTTCCTCCCCATCTACGCTCTCCAGTTTGGACTCCAGGTATTCCAGGTTCACCTGAGACAACAGGTGACAATCAAAGCAACAGATTAATGCATTAAAACGGCTTTGAGGCCGATCAGCCGCACAATCAGAGCTAAACTTTCTAATTTTACCAGGAGAGTGGTCACACGCAGGGCATCAATCTGTGCAGTATTTGTTTATGCTGATTTTTTTCATGTCACTTCCTCTTTACAAGCGCACACAGCCACATATAAGGCCACAAAAGAAAGACTATTTCTCTGTCTTTTTTTTCTAAAGTCTCATTTAAATCTATTAAAGGCCGAGATTTTGCCTCCAATTAATGTGTTCTAATTATTTAAGTACACAGTCAGTACTGAGGCATCTTTTCTCTACCTTCATCAGAAACAGCTCGTCCCAGAAGCGAGGATTATTTTTGGCTGGGTCTTCTTTCTAAAGCAAAGCAGGGAGAACATTGTTCGCACTTAAATATGAATTCATTTCAGGTCAAAATCTTCCACTGAAGTTCTTCCACTGCGATACTCACTGCAAAGATCTCATCGTACATCAGAACCACCTTCTCCTTCAAAGGTTTTTTAGAGGAGGACGTCCTCCTCAGCAGACCCGCCTTTTTCTCCACTTGAGACATGGTTAAGTCTGTGGGGGAGGGGAGGGCTGGGAGGGACACAGACAGGGAAAAATAAAGATAATGCCAAAAAGACTGTGATTTATGGATGAGTTCACAGTGAACAGTGGGGCGAAAACATTAAATCAGTCATAGAAAAAGACAGCCCACGAAGCTCAGATTAATTAGGTCTGGGCTGAATTTTTTTGTTTTTTTGTTTTGTTTTTTTATCATGGTATTAGTACACGCATTACGACTCACCACTTTTATTTTAGGTCCCTTATTTGTACATATTTATTAGTATGTTTAGCAGCGATATCAAACAGAAACAAACTACAAAATAAGCAGATGTGTCATGAATAGGTAGTTTTACATCAATAGCTATTATTCCATCAAATCCATGTTTATTTGTTACCTAAATAGTCATATTAAGGTACAAAAGAAATAGTTCTATTTATTCAAATTAAAAATGTAAAAGGCATGTTAAAAAATCATTTGAACCATACATAAAATACAAAGTGTCCCAGTAGAGATATAAAGTCACCAAGGTTGCGCAACATATTCAAAGGGCTGTGAATACTGTAAAATAATCTATATACAAATTAACATATAAAGATATATGTACAAACATACATATACACATATAGAAACAATATATAGATATAAATAATGCAAAAAATACACCCGTACATACATAGAAATTGGGCTTTTTTTAAGGAATTCATGTTCAAACTATTGTGCAAGACCACATGTTTCCTGTAACAAAGCAGTGTTTCAAATATAGTTTTTCAAATATTTAGCTGGAGAATTAATTCATTTTATCCTTCTTTATCTAATTTGAGGGAAAAGATGAGGACTTTTCCTGGGATGTTTTATGTTTTAGCTCAGGTGCAGAATTCTTGGATAAAATATGAATTCAAACTAATGTCCACAGTCATCAACCATACATTTTGCTTTTGCTGAAAACAATTACTGATGGTCAATATCCCAGCTAGAGTCCTCCTGTCTTAAAAAGTACACTCAGGTTGAGGTATTTTTAAAGAAAATAACCCACTGCCACGGTTTGTACTGAGGGTTGCTCCTCTGTTTACACAGAACAGCTGAAAAAAACTAAGATTATTCACTGATTAAGTCTTTACGGCTGTAATAGACTAATAAAACACGACACACACATCCGTGCTTATGTAAACGGAGTAACTCTCGAGTCTCTGTGTTAACACAAGCTGACATTGATTAATATTGATCAGATAAATATTGATAATCCAAAGCTTGTGTGGGGTACCAGCTCGGTAGCTAGCATTAGCCTCCTTAAATACAGCTACCTAACTGGTTTCCGTTTGATTTAAAACACTAAACGGTAACACTTTTAGCAGTATGCAATGCTGTTCAATTAAAAACGCGAAAAAGTCTCAAAATATTTAGGTTATAACGCGTTCAAAAATGGTTCCTCGGCTAATGCTAACTACATGGCTAATGTCTACCCTACAAGGATGTTAGCTTTAAAACTGATTTAGCGTTACCGAAATGACGACGGTAAAGACATTTTCGTATGTTAAACTGGACAGTTGGACAGTTTAAATAGATGAATGACTTCTGTTCTTACCTCAAATAAAATTATAAAAATATATTGTGTTACTGCAGCTCATGAATCCTTTACTGACAGCAGCATCTGTTAGCATGCTGCTAACGTTAGCCTCCCACTGGGCTTCAGGGTCCTAGCGCCGTCAGTCTGTTTGATTAAATTAAATGTCACGAGTAACTTTGTTGTTTGCATTGATATTTAGAACCAGGAACATGATTTTAGTCCCCGAGGGACATAAGTAAACTTATGTTACAATGAGAAACCTGAAAGGAAACGTCAATGAAAATAAACTTTCATGTTTTTGCAGTTAAAATTAGAAAAACATCCTCATACTAAGAATATTTTTAATGATATACAAATCTTGGGTTATCAGTCAATTCGTGAGTAACCTGTTAAATTGTGATATTTGAGCATATGATGATAAACATAGATTTAAATGGCAGATATTTACCTTGTTACATGTAATCATTTCCATTTCAGAATCGAAGGTTAACATAAGTTAACTCAATTAGTTTTTTACTAGTTTTATGTCACATCTAAACTTCCTGAGGGCCATACCTGGTATATTTGGCCAAGCAGTCAGGAGATAAATATATATATACCATTTGAATATCTAAGGAAGTCGACTAACTATATCTGGATTTCTTATTTAGAAAGGAAATGTCTCTGTAATGACATTTCTCTCATATGAAGGAATTTCCACTGATTTTCGTTTAACCGTAAACTAACAGCTTATCTCTCTATGTTTCAACCTAAGAGTTTCTTGGTAAATTAGCTCTCAGCATCTAAAATGGGGATAGTTTCTGAGGAGTTTGCAATCCGTTGTGGTCTTTTCAATCTGAATCAGGTGTGTAATGTTTGGCATTGATTCAAAGTCAGGTGTTTACGGAAGTGCAAAGAAACACAGCCATGTTTGAAGCCACTGGGAAATAATGTCAGGAATAACCATGGCAACCAAAGACTTTTCATATGAACACTGCAACATGGCGCCCTCCAAAGACCCCGTTTGATTAAAGACACGATGGAAGAACTGTCAGAGCTGATTAGGACGGAGCCTCGGTGGAAAAAGCTTGAGGAAAATATCCAAATCATTAGATGTGTTCTGGGATCAGTGTAAATACACTCTGACATTAAAATGAGTTGAAAAGTGACGTCTTTGGGCTGGTTTTTTTATGAATTATGTTTTTTTAAGCAGCGCTTTTGTGTTTTATTATTTACCTGCATCTGGCAGCTTTGGTAGTGTGAAAGTGCTCTTTACTTATAATCTGGTGTAAATGTGGCGGTCCTTCCTCAGGTGGGTATTTTCCACCTGCGGCAGGTAGAGGGGCCCTCATGTTATCCTATGTTTGGATTTGACATATGGAGGCCGACATATGAGGGTTGCTGTGGTTACAGATGCAAAAGTCGACAGATTAAATGTATCTACGTCCAGAAGATAACAAATCAGGTAAAACCAGACAGAGAAAAGCTCCCAAACCTCTGATGGACCAAAGCTTAGAGGAGCAGAACGGCCTGAAACAGAGATTCTGGAGTCTCTTTGTTTTTCTGTTCTGTGATTAGTTAACAAAATGAACTTTGAGTCCTCCCGAAATGAGCTGAGTGTACAGCAGAGGAGCAGATGGCGGCAGGGGGAACAGGTTGTTCAGCTTCAAAAACAACTTCAGTGACAAGATTCACAAAGTCTCCGCTTCTTTTCAGCCATTCCTGGTCCGTCTTTACCCAAACATTGAGCCATGTTTGTGCTCTTTGGGTCACGACTTCCTTTTTGGTGTTTGTCTGTTGTCATCTGTGTAGTCCTGGATTTCAAAAGCTTCTTTCCTCCCTGTATGTAAGGATGTGTTCATAAAACCCTGTGAATGTGTACATTACAATTCTGCATTCTGAAATATTGTCATATAACTAACCCTCATTTTATTTACATGTTTCTTGATTCTCTGAATTCCAGCTGCACACAGACACACTAAAGACATGCAAACCCCACAAAAAAGGCTCACAGCCTGGACCTGAACCTCTTTCTGTTGGGGGGGTAACTATTAGATAACTATGCAACAAATAAAGAGTCTTAAATGTGTGTTGGTTGCTATCTAAAGATGTCATCTACAGAGACCACAGGCCGTTTATTAAGCTGGAACATGGAGGTAAAAAAAGGTAAGCAGGGTTGGAGGGTCTGACCCAATTAAAGTTGCATTAAAGTTTAGTGGAAATTTGTGCTTTTGGACATCGGTTTCCTTAATAAATCCAATGCTTGAAGCACAAGCAGCTCTAAAGTCGTACATTTAGTGTACAGATGCTGTTTAAAGTTGTTTTTGTTAAGGCTTTCAACTCCTACAATTACCTTTAGGGAAACATTTTTATCTACCGAAGCCATGAGGGTTTAATTCCTTCTTCAAAGCGTTTACAGTGAAAATTAAAAACCAGAGACCGATTACAGCCAACATCTTTTTTTTTTTTTTTAGCTCAGCTGTGTTATTTACAAGAATCACCAACGACACATAATCCCTTTAAAGTGAAAATGCATCTTTTTATTGGTACCATACATTAATTATTAAGGGCAGAAACTAACCAAATCAAAAATATATATCAAAGAATGATTTCTCTACAGGGTCTGGAGAAGGTACAAGTCACCATTCAGACTCAACCAGGAATCAACTCCAAGAAAATGGAAAAGTACAAAAAACAGAGCTTCAACTGTTTTTTATTAGACTTTACAGACTCAGCACTGCTACCAAATATGCAAAACTGAACTAAATGTTAAGCTGGTGTGCGACTGGTGGCTATCAACGAGACCACACAAATAAAGACGATTCGGAAAGACTTAGAAAAAAAAACAAAAAAAAAAGAAAGAAAGAAAGTGAGATTGTTTCTTAGCCAGGAGTAAAACACGATGGTTGACGGGTAACTTAAGTTCATTCTGCACATTCAATTGACATTAAGATGAAACAAAGGTGGTCAAAGGACAATAAGTGATGAAAAAAATCACTTCCTGCAAAGATGAAATTTATGAGTTCATTTTGGAAACTTCAAACATAAATAAAAAAAGAAGTAAAATCGTCTGTCCATGGTGCCATTGTACCCCCGTGAGTTTGTAATTTAATTTACACAAGTTTTAAAAAAGAGGAAGGAGGAAAGACAGCAGGAGGGAGGAAACAGGGGGTTCATGAGTGTTTTTTCTCCTTTTTCCTATTTTTGTTTCTTTACATTAGATCGGGATGGCTTTAGGTAAATCTAAGTAAGAATACATTTTATTACAGTCAGACAGAACTTTGCTACTACCTTAAATATACAAGCACAAATACACAAAAATTCTCCAAAAAAAGGGGAAAACAAAAAGACAAAATAAAAACATCCACACTAAATTATTTCTCTTTATAAACATAAAAGATAAAAACAATATATTTTAGAGGGGAGGAGGGGGGATAAAAGTCCTGCGTTGCTCCTTGGTCTGTAGCTTTTCAGTATTGATAGAAAATAAAAAAGTAACAATTGAAATGAAGGCGTTTAATACAAATTAAAAAACATTCTAGGGAAATATATACTGTATAAAAACTCTTAAAATGTGTAGCTGTGTGTGTTGTAAATGCTCTTCCTGGCTCGGGCGCCAGGGCTTTCAAAATCCTTCAATCGTGTTTGTGTGCGAGTACACGTGTGTGTCCGTGTGTGTGTGT